AAATAATGGCCAAAGATGGGCTTTCAGTTGACTTTAGATTTTTTTTTTTGTTTGTTTTTGCAAGTATGACTGAAATGTGCAAACAAAAGGCATGGGATACTTTGAATCTTTTGGATCCATTTCTGTGTGGTACAGTAATTACTTTTTGAAGCATGGTTTATGATTACTGAACCATCATAATGGAATAAATACAGTTCATGTGTAAAGCAATGGCTTTCTGTATGTTGGCAAAAATAACAAAGGTTTTGGATTAACCTTCAGTGGATGGGTTCAGTCCAAGGCTGATTTAAAGCAGCGGTCTTGCCACACTGGGAGCATCTCAGCTTCACAAAGTGACTCGGTCTAAGGCCCATCTCTCCCTGTGAGATGAAATTCTATTTAGCAGTTTCAGTATACAGGTACAGAGAATGCAAGCTTGAACTTTACTTGCATGGAGACATATTCCCACAATAAGAACAGCTTAGAAATAGTGGGAGCGTCTTGAGTTAGGCCTACCTGTACTTATTATGCTGGTTTTTTTTTATAGTCCTGAAAAACATTTCCCCTCATTTTTAGATTTATCATGGCTTATTTTCTTTTTTGGGGTTACTGTTCCGAATTGGTGCATATTACCCAGCCATCACTGGTAATTATGGAGAAATACCCCCTAAAAATGTTTACCCCAAAGTGATTTACTTTAAAACTGAAGTTTTTAATTGTTGCATACACTGGTGTAAATAGCAGCTGCTGTATAAGCATTAATTTAAATGACAGCAGATATGAATACTTAATAGTATAATTGGTTAAAAAGGTGGTTAAATGTAGGTATGGTTAGCTTATGATGTATGGAAAGAAAAGTAATTAGTAACAATGGCATTAAATTACATGTTGATTAGAAGCTTTAAATTTTCATTAGATTAAGCATAGATGCATCCTTTTTATGTGTTTTTTTTTTTCTTCCCTTTTACATAGTTAGAACATAATTCATTTTGGCATCTCTGATGGTGGTAACTAGTAAGCCAGTTTGTTTCAACTCATAATTTCTATTCAGGGCATTTTTCCACAGGATGTTTTGATGCATCTTTGGATGTAGGATGGCTGGAATCCTAAGTGAAACCTGAAAATGAATTGAATGATTTAGATTCATTTTACTCTGGTAACACAGATAGACAGTTTGCCAAATGGCAGCTCTGTAGGTAGAGTACATGAACTCATATTATTTTTCTTTTCAGGTGGCATCAAACAAGCTGTCATGAAATAATTTGTTTCTTAGAAAATTTCAATCTGTTTTTCCCTTTTACAGCTCCATTTTTCATTGTACATGTGTGTCTATCCAGTCGATTTGCAGCCCTTTAGTAAAAATCACACTAAATCAGAAACAAATGGGCTGTTGGTGACAGAAGATGGTTTAACTTCTTTTGTTCAGGATGGTCTGATCCAGAAGATGTTTGAAAGTTTGTATTTAGTCTTCACATCAATACTGTCATGATTGATGGGAGACTGGGAATAGCAGGCAAGAGCTAGGAGCAGCTGTAGCCCCTTCTGTTTCTTGGAAACCAAATGGGTGAAATGAAGAATTCTCAGCCCAGTTGTGCTGGGAAAGCCAAACGTCTGTGCTGCCTTGCTGCTGTAATCTGTCAAGGCAGGCAATTTGTGATTATAACTGGCATAAATTCTGAGATTATGAATTTGGATCTTTTGTTTTTCTGGCATAGAAGAAGGGATGAGAGGAAAAGAGAGGGAATGAAAATTGATCTTGGTTTGTTTGCACTGTAAAATACACAGATTTGGGATTTATGCTTCCTGTAACAGAATGTTAAGAACATTAAAGGAGGTTTTTTTCCTAATATGTTCCATGTTTGGTTGTCTAGGCTGATTGCATCCAAGTGACCAGAAGCTTTCAGTGGTCGGAACTGCTTCCAAATTGCTTTGCGAACGTTAATACCACCTGCTTATCAGCTCTCAAAATGCAGGATTATTACATATTGTGCATATTTGCTGACAGTCTTTTATATTGAACCTTGCTCAAACCACCAGAACAGTCTTATTATATGAGGAATTTCCAGCCTTCATATTGTTTCATAAAATTGTAGAGGTTGTGTTGGTTTAAACCTGCATTTGCTTGATCTCCCTATGCTTGGCAGCCCTATTGCTGAGGTACTTCCAGTTATGATATTGTTGCCATCTGATGTTTTATGTGTGCCTTTGTTTCTTTCACAGCTGTTTTGCAGGGTAGCTTGATTTGTGGTAACAGATATGTATATTCAGATTCAAAACCATATTTGAAGAACTAGGAGAAAGCACCCGCATGTAAATGCATGTTTATTAGTGAGTCAGTTCAGCATAGCTCCATGAAAGGTTTCTATAATCAGTTTTATTTCACTGACTCAGTATTCAACAAAAATGAAGCTATTTGAGTGGTGTTGGTTTCAGTATTTAGAAGGTAGTAACTTTATTTCATAGTCACATGACAAAAGCCATAACCAGTAATTTACATTTAATTCTGACATTCATCAGACCTTTACGTGCCTTAAAAGAAACACAAAATCTAGTGATATTAAACTGCATCTCTAATAAAATAGGATACTGAAATGCGATCAAGTCACTGATGCTATTTTAACTTCTTTTAATATATGCTAACAAGTAACCATGTTTTGAAAAGAAACAGTGGATGTATCTAACCAGCATCACTTCTAATATAAAAGGTTCCATTAAAGAGGTGTGATAATACTTAATATCATCAGTGCTGTCATCATAAGTGTAAAAAATATTTAGAATCACCTTAGAATCCCTATTCTTTTTTTGCCTTAAGGTGAGATTTTCAATTTTCAATGTTTTGGGGTTGTACTGTAGTTTTTGCCTACCTCTCCAGTAGCCCATTAAAGAAATCTTAATTATGCTTTTTACTCTTTGTCTCTGCTTTTCTCACTCTGGTTCTGTCTTCATCTACAAACTTGGCAACCTTATTTCTGAATTGTGGTTGGCATTGTCAAAATGTAGATGGTTTGTACCATGATCAACAGCCATTTCATCAGGTTTTGGATGGGGAACAGTTTGGCAGTCATTTCTAATTCAAGATTAGTGTTTGCACCTAATTCTTCAAGCTGACCTTTATTTAGGAAGTTCTTTTGTTAGTCTTGATTATCACAGGCAGAATATGATTTTTTCTGTTCTTTCTGGGTTCCAGGAGGATGGGATTTATGGGAAAGTTGGATTACTAACTGGTTGGTTTGAAAGCTGTACTTTGAGCCCATTAGCCTCTATTATACCCACAGGGAGACATTTTCCCCCTTTTTCTCTGGCTTAGATTACACCTGTCAAATTAAATTTCATATACTTTTGCTTTTTCTCATTGTCAATGGGACAAAGTTTCCTTTACAGTCTGGTCCTGATGGTTAGATGTTTAGATTTCGGTGCTGGCAAATACGATGAGCATGTACTTTATTAGTGCAATATTTCACCTTTCAAAGATGAAAACACAAGTGTTTAGAATTTCTAGCCTAATATTTAACTATTATGCACCTTAATCCTTAAAATCCTATAAAACCTTAAAGCTTAAATATAACACAAAAGATCAATAGATTTTTGCTTCAAGGTAACTCTGAGGTCAGTGTACACAAGAAACTGTGGAATAAAAATTATTTCATTACCAAGGAAAATGACTGAGCTTATGAATTTTTAATGAAAGACCATTAATAAAGCTACAGATCAAATTTAGTATCTTCTACACTCACTACTGTGAAACTTTTTACAGTCCATAAATTTACTTAAGTGGTATTTAAGACAAGTTAGGGTGGTGATTTTTTTCAGTAAGAAAATAAGTGCAGACACATTTTTTCCTCCTACAGATCTTCTGCTCAGCAAGATGAGTGTTTGATTGAAACATGCTGTCTGTTCTGTGTGCATAATATAAACTGTGCAAAATCTTTTGGTCAGGATTTTGCCAAAAGGCTACTCAAAAGTATGTTTTAACCATGTGTCTCAGTTTTATTATTTGAACTTGAAATCTGCAGCTTTTTTCAGGGTCTGCTGAGGTAGTGTTGTTTGCTCTAAAACTCATCTTTCTGATTGAAGGTATTTGATTATTGTGGTACTTTGGCTGTGAACAGAAAAATCACCAAACAGTTTACTGGTGCAGAATGGAGCCGCTGTCACCTTTTGAATGATAGCAGCCCTCAAACATGTTGCGCTTTAAAAAAAAAACCCAGTTTCAACTCAGTTTTGTTGTCTTTACGTGTGAGTCTTGTACGGCTTTGGTCTTGATTGCATGAGAAACCAGCTATCTGCCCTTGTCCTCGCCATGACAACTGAAATCAGATGGCATGTCCAAAATGACTTTTCCTACTGCTGCTTGTCTAGTGTCATGACAGGTTGTCCTACAGCAAGATCTTTAGCTCTGAAACTTTCCCGGCTGCTGTGACAAAGCAATTACAACCTTTTCATTAGGATGTGGTACCATGATGAGTTTTTGTCCTTAAGTGTTTACTTGAAGAATATCGGCAAAGTAGCAGAAGATGGTTCGTTTGAAGGAATGCCCTAGTTATTTACTTTTTTGAAAGGGGTAAATGTCTCTTAATTTTGGACTGAACTGCACTAATGTGCCATGAGAATAACCAGGCTAAATCAATGGCAAGATGTCAGGATCCTGGTAGCAAGGCTAGGGTCTGCATTAACAGTGGAGGGTGAGAGAGAACATGGGCAGAAACCACCTGGAAAAGGATTTATACAGTTACAAAAAATTATCCTTGGGTTGTCACTCTGGTGCTTTTGCCAAGCCACAGTTGTCTTTTACAAGGCAAATGCCTTTGGTTGTAAGTCAGCTGGAACACTTGCTACACTCTCTTACTTACAACACATTTTAGCATTCAAGCTAATGCCTGCATGGGTGGGAGGGGTTAAGGATTAGGTCTACTATGTAATCGTTTTATTGAAAACCTTTTATAAAAAGCTAATTGATCTAAAAGCAATTATTTTAAGGAGATCACTGCTAGCAGATAGCTGACTTCTGTCTTTCATTGTAGCTGCACTCTGAGTGTTACCTTGGAACAGGCAATCATTTTGGCTCGGAGCCATGGGCTACCTCCTCGCTATATCATGCAAGCTACAGATGTCATGCGCAAACAGGTAAAGTGCTTACTGTGGGTAAGAACTGATGTTTCCAAACAAGATATGTTATCATCAAACAAAAATGGCTTGAATTGAATGACAAGAATTTTTTAACCTCCATCTTAGTGTTGTGAGTTTTCATAATTTGGGTATTTTGTTGGATTTATTCTCTTTATTTGTTGTTGACTGAAAGGTGTGTTTTTAAATAATGGAATACGCTGTTTTTAACCAACTTGCTTTCTCCATATGTGTAAATGGATCATAATTTTCACAGGGTTATGATTTTATTTAATGATATTTGTACAGGAACTGCTGTGGCATCACCTTACATGAGAATAGTCAGTTGAGTAAGACAGTCTTAATTTTAATACAGATACATAAAAGTAATTTAAGATTATTGACTATTGTTAATAAAAAATGACTCATGTACTGAATGAAGGGGAAGTGTAGGAGGGAAGGAGAGAAATACATACTGTGGTTCTCAACTTTCCAGGCAAGATTCTGAGAACAATGTGCTTATTTCAAAATAGTGCTTTTTCACTCTTTGGTCATAATAAAGTATTAGGATTTAGAGGCTGTTGTGGATAGATAACCACCTCAATATGAACTCTTAGTGCTAAGGTATAACAAAAAATGCTGGATTAAAAGGCAATATCAACTGAAGGCAGGGGATACACTCTACTGTATCTGCACCAAGTTTCCTAGAATATTTTGTTATCAGATAAGTACTTTCAAAAGGATGTTTGGAATCTTGGAAGGAGTTCAGAGAAGGAGTATGAATGATCCAGAGGTGGTTAGACAAGGCTTATGAAGTGAAGATTAAAGAGCTCAACCTATGCAGTTGATCAAAGAGCAGTTGAGTGGGGATTTAATCACTCTTGTGTGAATATGGAACATATATCTCAGCCTGTGGTAGCTTTCAACCTTATGACAAAAGCATAAACAAGATACAGGATGCACTCGGTTTTGAAGTGGAAAAAAAGGTAATTAAATATCAGAAAAATTAATCACAGATAAGGCAAGATTTATAAATTCTGGTGTTTAGTTTGAATCTAATTTTATTATTTTCATAAATTTTGCTCCATATTCTGTGCAGCAGTCACAGTTGAGTTATGAAAATGATTAACCGGCTGTACTTTAATTCTAAACTGTTGTAAACAAAAATACACGTGTACTAGATCAAACTCTTAGTCTGTTAAAGCAATTGTGTAGGTACCCTCAAGCTATAGATTCTATGTAAGTGCTGCTGCCTAACATGGGTACATCAAAGTGATTATGCACATTCCTTTCCATATTGAACTTCCACTTTATTTGGTGCATAAAATAAGTTTCTGTGGTTAATAAATACCCTCATGGTTCTTGATTCAGAATGTGTAGGTCTGCTCAGGAATTAGTGCTTTAACTTGACTTGAAAGCTACTGCTGTATAAGGATAAACTTGCATGTATAGGTTGATACGTCTGCTCCTGAAGTTCTAGACAAAAGTCAGATCTGGGTATTTTGCAATAAAAAGCTGTGGACATACAGTTTTACATATGTCTGCCTGCAGGATGTATTCTGTCAAGGGGTACATTTTCAATACACAGTTAAAAAAATGCTGATTCATTTGTGGTTCTGCAGTTTATTAAATGAAAATGAAAGACAAAATAAAAGTAACTTGCATGGTTTTGAGTGGCTGCACTTGCTCAAATAGAGATATAGAAAGAAGCCGCCAGTGAGTCTACATTCTTTGAAGTAAAACAGCAGGTGATCAATAGCTGTTAAAGATACCAATATCTCAATACCACCCACAGACACTGCAAGAAAGTCTGCTAGTATATCAAGCCAGACTTTTCACACATTCTTCCTCTTGCAGGAAATCACTGCTGCAATTAATAGAGTAATAATCTTTTGTTGTAATTTTAAATCAGTCTTGGAGTTCTGGAGTAGAACTGTAACCCTCCATTAAATTCTAAATGTTTTTGAGTAATTTCAACAACACACTATGGTATTTTTTAGAAAACAGTTCCAGATTTAATGTTGACATTATCTGTAGGGTTTAACTGTCAGGAGCATAATGCAGGCCATAAAACTTGCAGGGGGCACAGAGGAAGTGTCTTGGGGTTTGTTGCAGAACCTAAGTTAAGGGCAAAAGGCTTTTTTCCTGGCTTAATATAAAAAAGAAAAACAACCAAGCAAAAAACTTTGTTAGCCTATTTTTGCCCTGAATCTTTTGTGGTATAGGCAAGTGCAAATGAAAGAACTTCTATTCCGTCTGTTATTCTGAAGAAGGCTGCAACATTGCCTCCTAGTAGCATCAGCTTTCCAGAAGGAGAAATTATCTCTGCTCAGAGCAGGTACCTCTTCCAGCTTGGGGTACCAGTACCAAATAACTTAAGACACCTGATTGAATGGATGACCTCAGAAACTGTTTTGTTTTTTTTTTTCCTTGTAAATTGAATGAAGCTGTGATCATGTTTATGACGACTCATAATAGCCTCCGTGATAGCCTTGCATAGATTTTCAAAGTAATTGCCCTATGAGTTTTAATGAGGTATTTACAAGCACCTGCTCTATGAGAACTACAGAAAAGAGACCAACTTGTGAGGATTGGTATGAACTTGGGTATGTGGCATGGTTTTTGTTAACTGATTTCTGCTTTTTACCTGCTTATCTAGTCTGGCTGGATTTATAAAATAATTTTTTTGAGACAAAGCCCCAGCTATCTTCTAGTAATTTTATTTACTCATGTATGTTTATTCGTGTAAACATCTGTACCCACAAAATACTATGTAAAGCATCATGACAGGATGTGTCTTCAGGATGCAGCAAAGCATGGAAAAGACAGAGACCTAGCTAGGAAAGGAGCTGCAGGAGGGTACAGGGCTCTGAGGATGAAAGGTAACTAAAAACCTGATACACAGAAAAGACTAGGAGAGAATTTGACTTGTCTTTTAAGTAAGTAATAATTTTTCCATGCTTTTTCATGAGTATGATAACAGCACTACATTTTAAATAATTCTCATGGGAATTCTACTGATTTAGATCTCTCTGCACATGGCATAAAGAAAATCTGTTTTCTTTATGTGACTTTCTTGCTAACTTTAAATTAGTGTGTAGCTTGAAAATAAACCTATCATTTTTTCTCATGGCAGTGTAAATACTAGCTCTTATGTAAGACTCTAGATTGATGGTGGTGTCTCCTCAGTGCTGCCAGCACCATTCGCCAGTGCTCTGGCTAAACTGGTATGCAGAGGTAAGCATTCTGGAGCTGCATAGCATGACTGTCCCTTACACCTATGTGAGACAGTGTCAATATTTACATTGCTATAGCTTTAAGAATGATATTGGAGAAGCATAAATTAACAGTGTATTGGAATATAAATAGTATAATGGTGCTCAGTGGAGCCAAAGATGTCATGTAGCAAGTTGCTAGTAATTTTTGCGGGCTTTTCCTCAAAAGAAGTAAGAATCTGGTGGTTGTTAGTAAGGTCTAATTTGTTACCCTGCTAAACAATAAATTACATGGCTATATAAAGCTAGACTCCTTTTTAAATCAATGCATTTGATTTATTACATGAGCAGGATACTCAAATTAATATGTCTAGTGAATGAAGCAAGTGAAAATAGGGTGATTTTGTTTCAGAGGTAGTCACAGCACTGATGTTTAGGATCTACGTGTGATTAAGTTAGATAGGTTTCCCATGTATATGTATATTCTGGCTCACAGTTATGTTAATCATATGCTAGTCTCAGCAGTCGGTCATGTTGGGGTTTCTTTCCTTATTTTTTTTTCCCCCCTTCAATTCAAGTGTCCTGTTTTCCATCCAGCATACTGTAGTCTGAGAGACCAGATTTTACTCCCTTTTTTTTTGCAGTAGACTTGTAGTATTTTGGATGTTTCCAGACGCAGGACTTCAGTCATGTCTTTGGGCAACCTGTTCCAGTGCTTCACCATCCTCATTGTAAAAAATTTCTTCCTTATATCCAGTCTGAATCTACTTTCTTTTAGTTCAAAACCATTACCTCTTCTCCTATTGCTACAGCCCCTTAAGAGGAGCCTGTCTGTCCTAAATTTGATGATCATTTCCCTGATAAACCACCACTTGTGTAGACAGAAGAACATCAGTTAATGTGATCTTTCTTTTTTTCAGTTGTGATTTCTTACCTAATCATCCTACCTGTTCTTATCTGAACTCTTTTCAAGTTTTTATTAAAAATGAGAAGTAACTGTGAAGAAATACAAAAGGGTCTTTTTAGACATTTCATGACTAAAATGGCAGATGAAAATCAGTGTAGATAACTGTTAAGTGATGCACACTTAAAACAAGGGAAAACAAACCTGTAAGTTCACATTCAAAATAATTGACTGTGAGCTTTCCATTACATCTCATGTTCAAGACCTCAGAGATATGATAGAAGACATCAGCTCAATTCTCAGTAGCTATCAAGAAAGCAAATAAGAATTTATGATGGTTTAGTTAAGGACAGATGACAAAATAGAAATCATGCTGTCATGACCCTTCATTTTGAACTGATGTTCTGATCCTTTCCATCAGGATATAGCTTAATGGAAAAAGTTCAGAGAAGGTTAAAAAAAAAAAATATCAAGAGTTGGGTATGGTTTATAGACAGGATAGGACAAACCAGCAAAATAATCCAGGATTGTTCAGCTTCATGAGTGAATGAGAATATGATAGATGTCTAAAGAACATGTAGCATGGATAGGAACTGACCATAGTACTTATCGGGGCAAAACTAAAGGCATCTGGCAGACTCAAACTAAGTGAAAATAGTGGTTCTTGACAAAACAAGATAAGATTGTACCCAAGATATAAATCTCCCAGAAGGAGGTTAGTGATGTGAAGTTATGTGTGGGTTCAAGATGAGATGGGAAAGAAGAGAACCACTGAAATCAATTAAATACTCACTGCTGAACAGAGGAAGTATTGAGGGACTAATGACTGAATTCTGGAGTGATTCCTGGGGAAAGATGTATGTTTTTTGTTTGTAGTCACGTGTCTTTTGCAACTGGTGGAGGTAAGTTTACTGAACTAGATGTAAAGCTAGTAAAATCACTTATATTCTGCCTTTAGTTCTGTAGGTACTCTCGTTATTTCCTCTGTTCACCACTTCCTCCTTCATCCCTTCCCCCCCACCAAAAAAAAAACAAGTAAGGACACAGTATTTTTTGTCACATGTTGATTTACATAAACGATGAGAATCTGCCTGTGTGTAACCAGCCAGCCTTTTTTATCTTTCATTTGAGCCCATAACAGAATCACAGAATCACAGAATCCTAAGGGTTGGAAGGGACCTCAAAAGTTCGTCTAGTCCAACCCTCCTGCAAGAGCAGGGTAACCTAGAGTACATCACACAGGAACTTGTCCAGGCGGGCCTTGAATATCTCCAACGTAGGAGACTCCACAACCCCCCTGGGCAACCTGTTCCAGTGATCTGTGACTCTCACAGTAAAGAAATTTTTCCTGATGTTCACATGGAACCTCCTATGCTCCAGTTTACACCCATTGCCCCTTGTCCTATCACTGGACATCACTGAAAAAAACCTAGCTCCATCATCCTGACACTCACCCTTTACATATTTGTAAACATTGATGAGGTCACCCCTCAGTCTCCTCTTCTCCAAGCTAAAGAGTCCCAGCTCCCTCAGCCTCTCCTCATAAGAGAGATGTTCCATTCCCTTAATCATCTTTGTGGCTCTGCGCTGGACTCTTTCAAGCAATTCCCTGTCCTTCTTGAACTGAGGGGCCCAGAACTGGACACAATATTCCAGATGCAGCCTCACCAAGGCAGAGTAGAGGGGGAGGAGAACCTCTCTCGACCTACTACCCACACCCTTTCTAATGCACCCTAGGATGCCATTGGCTTTCTTGGCCACAAGGGCACATTGTTGGGTCATGGTCATCCTCCTGTCCACCAGGACCCCCAGGTCCCTTTCCCCTTAACTACTGTCCAGCAGGTCAGCCCCCAACCTGTACTGGTGCATGGGGTTGTTCTTCCCCAGATGCAAGACTCAACACTTGCCCTTGTTGAATTTCATCAAGTTCCTCTCCGCCCAACTCTCCAGCCTGTCCAGGTCTCGCTGAATGGCAGCACAGCCCTCTGGTGTGTCAGCCACTCCTCCCAGTTTAGTATCATCAGCAAACTTGCTGAGGGTACATTCAGTTCCCTCATCCAGGTCGTTGATAAAAATATTAAACAGCACTGGTCCCAGCACCGACCCCTGAGGGACTCCACTAGTCACAGACCTCCAGCTAGATTCTGCTCCATTGACCACAACTCTCTGCCTTCTTCCTTCCAACCAGTTCTTGATCCACCTCACTATCTGATCATCTAGTCCACACTTCCTTAGCTTATCTATGAGGATCTACTGTGGGAGACAGTATCAAATGCCTTACTGAAATCAAGAAAAACCACATCTACCGCTCTACCATCATCCATCCACCTAGTTACTTGCTCATAGAAGGCTATGAGGTTGGTCAAACATGACTTCCCCTTGGTAAAGCCATGTTGGCTGCTCTGAAATAATGCTGAAATAATACCTTTTGAATTACCTGGGTACCACATTTCAGTCAAATTCAATGTCTAGTCTTACTCTACATAGTGTATCAATGATTCTACCTAATTATTACACCATGTGCAGCCACCATTGCAGCTCTGGAAGGTAAATTATCTTTGATGTTTCACACCGATCCAAGATCTCACTGGAAGAATTCTGAGGTTATGTATTTATGTTCCCTGTTATTTTGTCCTGAATTTAGGTAGTACAAAAGGTGAAATAAAGGGAGAGTCAACGTATGTATTACAGACAGAAGTAATTGCCATCCTCTTTAAAATGTTGGAAAACAGAAAAAGACTGTAAATCTAACAGATGTTTCTTTATGATGACTACATTAATAAAACTGCACTTTAAAAGCTAGACCTCGTAATTTAAAATCAATTTTTTACTAAGTTCTTTCATAAATCTAAATTTGTTTGCAGAAGAGTGCTTTTTTAACTATCGTGGTATAGGAATATTCTTCATGTTTCAACTTCCTCCTTCCTAGATGAGTCAGTAAGACGAGAATACTTCCATTATTGTTTTTCAAAAGATCAGCTGTGGTACAGAGAGACCAGCTTTTCTAGCTGACCCTGCTTAAGCATGGGTATTTGGGCTGAACAATCCTGGGAGGTGCCTTCCAACATTTTTTTTTTTTTTTTTTTTTGTGATTCTGTGATTATAAAGGAAGAGCAGGGCCTGCTTTTTTCTAAGCTAAATTTAGTGCCTTAACTTAGGCCATTTTCCTAGTTCTAACTAGAAAGTTATTTATAAGAAATAAGGTATATTTGTTTGTTCATAGGAAATAAGTGACATTTCAGAAAAAAACTTTGTTATTCATGCCTTCTACAAATAATGGTGACAAAAATCAAACAAGATGTGTTTGTTTTAAGCCTTGAATGTTAGTTTTTTATGAAGTCTTCCATGTTGATATTTATTTAATGACAAGAGGAAAGATTTTGCCTTTTTTCTATGTATTTCTCTAAGTTGAGAATTAAAGTACTGCTTTAACTTGTTCCCCACCTTAGAAGAGGAGAGTTGTTTCAGGACACGGAGCATGTGTATTAATTATAGTCAGTAGTTACATTCATGTAGAAAGTTCAGAAAACTTTCTAACTTGTTTTGGAATAAATGAAGCAGAGTTGTTTTTCTTTCACAGGGTGCAAGAGTACAAAACACAGCCAAGAATTTAGGAGTGAGGGATCGAACACCACAGTCTGTGCCAAGGTAACTGACTATTTGTGTCCTAGACCATGATTTTGTCTAGTTTGTGCCAAATTCTGTTCTAGCTGCTAAAAACCTCTAACAGTAAATATTGACTGCATTGTGCACTAACTGGTAAGATTTGGTTTTAATGTACATAAAATCAGTTACATTCTTAGCCACACAGTTTTACGTAAAGTAATTAGTTGCAGAAGTTCATGCTATGTAGCACTACAAAACACAGCCATTTTTGAAAACTGAAGCCTAGTTCATGTTAATTATGAAAACACTGGAGTAAGTCTTTCATCACTTGTGATGTTTAGTGGTTTGAGGGAAATATTCATAACTAAATCCATAACCCCATTTTAATGAAATACTGTACTGCATTATCTTGGCAAAATCATGTCCTAGTTGCTTTTAGAGATGACGTAGTCTTTCTTTGTCTCTTTCTGAAACATCCATTAGAAAGAAAAATGCGACTGCTCTGTATTTATCCATCTTTTTTAATGCTGTGATGGATTGCAGGTACCTGAAATGTTTCTTAATAAGCACACTTATAAATGAAAATAACCAAACAACAGTGTTCTTAATTTTATCTTAATATATGGATTTATTAATCCAACTCTAATTCAGACTTTTTATTTTACCAGTTTAAAACACAATGGTTTTTGTTAACTAACAGTGCTGTCCATAGACTCGTGGAAAGACTGTTTTCTGGATTCTGACCACTAATACTCAGGAGCTTTTTCTTACACAATTTGCTCTCCTTTTCTTTGATGTCCCAGCTTCTCCCAGTAGTGAATCAGGATACTGCTCATAATTCGCTTGTACCTAATCACTGCACGTGGTTCCACGCCTCTGCTTGATCTGACTCTAGAAAAGATGTGTACCTTAAGTGTCCAGGGAATGAGTAAATCTGAGTAGCAGCTACTCACAGTATCACAGTATGCTAGAGATTGGAAGGGACCTCGAAAGATCATCTAGTCCAATCCCCCTGCCGGAGCAGGAACACCTAGATAATGTTACACAGGAATGTGTCCAGGCGAGTTTTGAATGTCTCCAGGGAAGGAGACTCCACAACCTCCCTGGGCAGCCTGTTCCAGTGTTCCGTCACCCTCACTGAGAAGAAGTTTCTTCTCAAGTTTAAGTGGAACCTCTTGTGTTCCAGTTTGTACCCATTACCCCTTGTCCTATCATTGTTTGCCACTGAGTAGAGCCTGGCTCCGTCCTCGTGACACTCCCCCTTTATATATTTATAGACACTTATAAGGTCACCCCTCAGTCTCCTCTTCTCCAAACTATAGAGACCCAGCTCCCTCAGTCTTTCCTCATAAGGGAGATGCTCCACTCCCTTAATCATCTTTGTTGCCCTGCGCTGGACTCTCTCCAGCAGCTCCCTGTCCTTCTTGAACTGAGGGGCCCAGAACTGGACACAATATTCCAGATGGGGTCTCACCAGGGCAGAGTAGAGGGGAAGGAGGACCTCTCTCAACCTACTAACCACCCCCCTTCTAATACACCCCAGGATGCCATTGGCCTTCTTAGCCACAAGGGCACAGTGTTGGCTCATGGTCATCCTGTCGTCCACTAGGACCCCCAGTTCCCTCTCCCCTACACTGCTCTCTAACAGGTCGTTCCCCAACCTATACTGGAACCTGGGGTTGTTCCTGCCCAGATGCAGGACTCTACACTTTCCCTTGTTATATTTCATCAAGTTACTCCCTGCCCAACTCTCCAGCCTGTCCAGGTCTTGCTGGATGGCAGCACAGCCTTCTGGCGTGTCAGCCACTCCTCCCAGCTTAGTGTCATCAGCAAACTTGCTGATAGTACACTCAATTCCCTCATCTAAATCGTTGATGAATATATTAAATAATACCGGTCCCAGTACTGACCCCTGAGGCACTCCACTAGTTACAGGCCTCCAACTAGACTCAGCCCCATAGACTACAACTCTCTGGCTTCTCTCCTTCAGCCAGTTCGCAGTCCACCTCACTACCTGATCATCCAGACCACACTTCCTCAATTTAGCCGTGAGGATGCTGTGGGAGACTGTGTCAAATGCTTTGCTGAAGTCAAGGTAGACCACATCCACCGCTCTGCCATCATCCATCCACCGTGTTATTTCCTCATAAAAGGCTAAGAGATTGGTCAAACATGATTTCCCCCTGGTGAAGCCATGTTGACTGCCCCTCATAACCCTCTTATCCTTGATATGCCTTAAGATGGCACCAAGGATAAGGTGTTCCATCACTTTCCCAGGGATGGAGGTGAGGCTGACCGTGTTAATGAGGCTGTTGTGTTAATGAGTGGCAACATTTGTTGGAGCATGTACACATCTTGCATGCCCCATAAAAGACATTAGGTAAGATCCAACAGAAGTACTGATTCTAGAGTAAATCTATCAGCAACAGAGCCATTGCCTTCACCAGCAGATGAGGGCATCCCTTCTCACTGTAATGATTAGCTTAGAGGCAATCCAGGACCAAAACTGCCTGACCAATTGTCTTGCATTGTGAGACTCTAAGGCAGTAAAAAACTATTTTACTACAGTAAAAGCTGTGAGAAGCTTTTTTGTCTTTTGGATGGTATGGTTTTGAACTTAAATGGACTCCTTCTTTATGACATAATCCTGAAAACAGCCAAGTAATTTTTGCAAACCAGACTTCTCCCACCTCTAAATGACAGAGCATATATCTAGATTCAGCTTTTGTGATAAAGGAAAAATCTAAGTTCTTACAAAGAAAAACTAAGCTATGAGACATCTTTTGCTTTGCATCAGTTGAGAAAAGATCACCTCTTTCCAGCTAACACTCCCACAACATAGCAATGAAAAGCTGAAGAAAAAGTATGAGAGCTCCTAGAACATAGACAGATGCATCCAGCATGCTTGCCAGTCAGCAGCAACAACAATATCACAGGAATATCTCATTGATCTCAGTGTTTGGGGCATTTGGTGTACCATTAGTGACATGTCACATAAGTCGGAATAGCCAGCAGGGGTGTAATTTTGATGATACTGTGGGTTCTCAGTTCTTTACCTTGAAAAGAATTTTACCATTACATATGGTTCCAGTTAGCATCACTTGACAGCGTTTTCAGTTCTCTGCAGTTACCACTGCTTTCTGTCTTTTCTCAGCTGATCTGTTTGTACTATCTCAGATAGTTGTTCCATACATATTGACCCAGAACAGGCTGTTTCTACTCTGTCATTCCTCATCAACTATACCTCCTTAGGGATTTTATTGTTTTTTTTGCTTCGTAATTCCCCTATATCACTTATTCTGAAGACAAGTAATCTTAATGATTACCATCTCAATCCGAAGAATACACAGAACTTGGGGCTCAGCTTTTCTGCATGTGGTTCCAGAGAAATTAGGTTTTGCTAAAACATCACAAAGAAAAAACATCAAAAAGAACTAACCTTGCTGCAATTACTTTGAGAAGATTCTGACAGTAATTTTATCTATCTTTTGCCAGCTTTAAATATTATTGCTTTATCACACTAGCAGAATCAAATAACTCAAGCTGTGTTTATTTTACTGGGCATACTTGTGTGTATAAAATCAGGCCATCTTATTCTCTCATTGGTATATAAATGGGAAATACATGTATACTGCCTTATCTGTGGCTCCAAACAAACACATTGGTGCCTGCACAACGTGACCTTAAATGATCATGTTTCTGAGTCTGCCAGGTGACAATGTGGAAGAGCCCAGTGATCTTAAGAACACATCATAGTGGAGGTTTGAGAGCAGGTTTGCAGTTGCTGTGTGACTGACAGAACTGATGCTCCCCATTCTTACCATCTGTGCTTGACAATCACTTCCAGTGAGATTCAGAGAACAGTTATTGAGCACACGGCCATTGTTCGTTGTCAGTATCCTAGGTTAACTCCTAGGGGAACTGAAATCAGAGAACAGCAGCTATCCTGCCCTGCTCTTGCATAGCCACAGGATGCTTTTTCTGACAGGATATGACTAGAAGTTGAAGAGCATTTTCATACTCACAGAGGCAGCCACACATATTGTGCCTCACGTAATTTCAGTAGCTGCTAATAAGGCAGCAGCCCATTAATCTTGAATTGTTTGTGGAGCCCAGCCACATGTATGGACTTTTGTTTTCTGTGTTGATTTGTAGTATGATTTTGAAACTTATGATGAGTTAAAATGGAGTCACATAATGTGATGTTTAGCAGGCAGATTTTCAAAATATATGTGGAAAACTCGGATATCCTGAGCATCCTGGGGAGAGACTTTTCATCAGGGCCTATTGTGACAGGATGAGGGTGATGGTTTTAAAATAGGGGAGATTCAGGCTGGACGTGAGGAAAAAATTCTTTACAATGAGGGTGTGAAAATCCTGGCACAGGTTGCCCAGAGAGGTGGTGGATGCACCATTCCTGGATGCATTCAAGGCCAGGCTAGATGTGGTTCTGAGCAACCTGATCTAGTTGAAGATGACCCTGCTTATTGCAGGGGCATTGGACCAGTTGATATTTGAGGTCCCTTCCAACCCAAACTGTTCTATGATTCTGTGATCTTAAATATCGCTAGCCTTCAAGCCACTGGACAATTTGCAACCCTGCCTGTAGCCAGATCTACCAAACCTGCTATTTCTATTGTTTTGGTATTTCAATATCTGAGATTCTTCATCATTAATGCACATGCTGTGTCATTGTCTTTTCACTTCTTCTGATGCTTTTTAATCCTTCCCATGCTATCCTTGGTCTCTTCTCTTTGCTGTTGCTTCAATGAGACACTTTCCCTGAGGAAAATATGTAATCTCCAAATGAGATCATGTCTATTACTGCTTCTAATTGCTGTGCTTGCAGCAGAGATACTGTATGCTGGACATACTTACAGGGCAGAGAGCCTGAGGTCAGAATGGTTGCCATATTCCTAACATTAGGGTAAAGTTTCAAACACTTGCTAATGACCAAGTCCATGCTGAAGGGCTTACTAGAAGTTCAAAACCCATTATAAATGAAGGGGTGGCTATTCCAATCTGTACTGAGATATTAATATGAACCAAATCTTACTGCTCTTGCCTTCATACATGTAGAAACGGGTTGAGGGGGGAAGTTTAAAATCTTAGTGCTGGCCTGTCAGGTATCTGACATCTGTCTCAGGTCCTTCAGACAACATCAGTTTTATAGGGAGCTGTTTTAGAGTGAGGTCTGACTGTGTCAAACCAAACCAAAGTTGGAAGCAGTTGTGTTCACCAAGCAGCTTTTCAGATTTAGACATTCAGAGCAACGACTGATAATTGGATTAGTGGAGACTTTGATTTTTCCAGAACGGGGTCGTCAGTGCAGAAATATGAAAACTTGACTAAACTGGAATGTCTTTATTTATAAGATTGCTTATAGATGTGTGCTTTAATGATACCACTTTCATTGTGAACATTCATGCTCATTAATAAAAATTTACTGGCGTTATATCAGTGTTATTAAACTGAATTCAGTCTCTTGTTCTGCAGTGCAGGAAGACTTAGGTTTAGTTTGTGTTCCTTAAATTTACCCATTTTAATAATGACCAAGTTCTCAGAATAACAATTGCTTTGTTTTTTGTCATTGTCAGATTATACAAGCTATGCCAGCCACCACCACCTGTTGGAGAAGAATGAGGAGAACTGCTCCAGAAAATTCCAGTAATGACCTTAAGGATGCTGGGACTATATGACAAAAAATCTAACTGCACTATAGCAGTGTGTGCCTAGGGCTTTGATAAATAGAAAAACCCTTTACTCAGGATAAAGAAAGAAATACCCTAAATATTCTCTATTGGCAGTGAAAAATAAACAACCAACTTCTAAAAAGTATTTCTGGAATCTGTGCACTCCAGCCTTACGCTACTAGAACAGGAATCTTCCTTGGGAATTTTACACTGGAATCCAGTTCATTTGATGGGTCTTGTTCAGCCACACGATAGGTATAGCCAGCAGTTGGAATACAGATATCTTGTTCAGAGAGAATGACTTCACTTGTACACTGTACAGAATGTCTTCTTGCAGAAGGAATAAAAGCCTAGATAAACTAGGCTTGATAATGAGCATGCACTTCATACAGGGCCCTTTGCACTGATAATCCCTTTTTTCCCATCACTATCATAATTTTTCAGAATGGTGATGTTACTGTTACAAGTATATGATGTAGGTGAGGTTTAAAGGTGGACAATTGTAGAACTGTGTTTAATGGCTACAGGCAGACTATTGCTAGGAGCATGTGCTTGTAATCGGTAAACTTAATCATGTCTTAAGGTGTCCTTTGTCATACTCCTTTGGAAAGAGTAGCTATATGGTATATGAGGTGAAGTTTTGCCCCTTGTTCAGTTGCCATTTTAATGAAGGAGAAGAAATGTAAGATCTTCATCCATGGTTAGACTGAATTTCAGACTCTGTCTAGTCGATGTTTTACATTATTGAGTCTCTGCATTTCAGAGTTTTCCAGAGTTGTGTATATTCTTGTATTATAGTGCTATACTAGCCAATCTGCAGAAGGCGAGGATGAGGCAGTATTGTTATGTTTAACTGGAAATGTCTGTGGTATAAGTTGAAGTCCAGTTCGGGGGGGTGATGTATTGTTGCATTTCCTGTGTTTTGTCAGAATAGTTTTGGTTTTTTTTTAATAGGATGTCAGTTCTTTTGGAGTGGTAATTGCTATAGATTTATTTTGAAATTGTAATGAATATTTAGAGGGACCAGGGAAAATGTATCTACATTTAGCTGTTCTTTTGGCGGAAGAATTTTCAGAGAAGGTGTCCCCAGATGAGGTTTCATATGTGAAAACATTGAAACAAAAACTGTATTCTGAAATAGTTCTACTTGTAGCAGCTATGCAGTCTGTTAGAGCAGGACATACACTGTGTGAGTAAATGTTATTTTCTGTACAACAGCAGCCTATAGTTATGCTATAGCAATCAAACCTCACAACATAATTGTTGAATATTATCTAGTTATTTATGAAATCTTCAACAAATATATTAGTCCGCAATTAAATAAGTGAGAATTCAAAATGAGATGTACTCTTGCAGAGAGTGTTTTTATATACGATATCTAGGGGACTTACTACTTTTCTCCAAAGGAGGAATTAGAGCTCCTACCTTTTTCACTATTCTTAATGTTTTTACACAGACTTTAACTTTGCTAAGAAAATAAATATTTTTATATATCCACAGATATCTATGTCTGCACATACACGTGAGTTTCATTATGTATATATTTATGTAGTCATATCAGTTACTAGTACAATCTTAAATATAAAATGTTTGCCTTAAACTGTGACAAAGATATGCAGTAATGAACACGTCACTAACAATTTCACCTTTGTCCTTTGAAGTTTACACTCTTTCAGAGTTACTGGAAGCTGTGGGACTGTAATCTTTTTAATTAAAACAAACAAAAATACAAAACAAAGTTTTACTCTTTAGAAATTACACACTTTGTCTAGGATGATCTAATGCACGCATGTAAAAAAGGGTCACAATTTCTGTAGTCGCTATTCTAGTCAGGATCTCAAACTTCTGGATGTGTTTCATTTGGAGAGAGAGTGTTGGCTCTTGTAATTCCCACTTCAGGCAAAAGCACAAAAAAAATGGTTCAGTTTCTCCTTGTTCAGACATGAGGAGTTTAGAGAAGCCATAATCACCTTATGCCAAGAATGGTGTCAGTGTGAGCCCAGCTGTGAGCTCACATCTTCCTGTGAGATTTGCCCACATGAGTTTTGTTTTTTTACTACAAGGCAAATCAGCTGTCAGGTGCATGTTGCTGCTAATCCTGTATAATACAAAATAACCTGTAGGGCAGAATCTGTTGCATGCACATGCATTATTGTCACAAGTCATCACTCTTTACTGCATTGAAAATTGAAAATATACCAAAACAGTCTCCCTGTATAATACAGTGCCTAATTCTTTTCGTTGTTAAAACATGGGCTAATACATAATACACATTCGTAAGCACCGAGGGACAAATACTTATGAGCCAGTCACTGAACAAATATTTTAGCTATTGTTTCATGCGTGTGCGTCAGAAATCCTGACCTTTTGGGTTTGTATCTCATTTTTTGTTCCTTTTTTTTTTTTTGAACCCCTATAGGCAGTTTTCAAAAACTTGATCAGCACTATGAGCTTCATTGGTGACCCATACTGCAAGATAAAGTGTCTACTTAGCCTGGTATCAAAGGGGCTGAGAAAGTGAAGCCCTGGTTTCCTGAAATTATAGGTAGCATGTGTAAGTACAGGATTTCCAGGGGAAAATGAGCATAAATGTCCCACTGACTATGGAAAGCAGGTGACTAATTTCTCAGGATTTCCTTTAAAAGCCAGTGTTCGCTTGAAACATTGTGCAGAATTTCAAACTGCTTTTCTCTTCCCTCTGTTTTCAGAGCACATTCTAACACATCTGGCTGCTAATAACATTTGATGAAACTTTAAGAAGCCCATTCATGAAGTATACATTTACTTCATTGTTCAAAACAATAATGTCCATTATTATTTGTTTGGTATATGTAGCAGATGTATTTGTTCCCTATGCAAGGTGCACTTGCAGAGCTAAAAGAAAGAAATCCATTCTCATCATAGTATTATGTTTATCCTCTCATAAATTTTTAGGCTTATTGGTAACAGAGAATGATGATTTACAAGAACTGTAACACCCGTAACTTGTTAAATCTTTGCTTCTGCAGCAACATATTGTGCAGCCTGTTTTTGCAAGGATGTGTTGTACTGGTTTAGGGAAAGCATTCTCTGTGTCATTTTTACTTTTTCATCCAAGACAAATCTTCTGGGAATAAATTCAGTTCTGGGAATAAATTCAAGGATCTGGAGGCATACACTACCAAATATTGACTACTGGTGGTAGTCTGTGGGGTTTGTACAGGATATGTAACAGGCTTAAGGTCCAAGGAACGGTGAAGTTCCCATAGGGTTCATGCTTGGAGAAAACTAGATTTTGATTTTAAAGTAAAGCTGATGGGGTTTCGCCTATCTTTGTAACCATCATCTATGAATAATGGGATGCTAAACAGTCTTTATGAGATGAGCATTGATTCAGTATAGTTCCCCAAATTAGGTGTTTCATAACACTTATTTTCCTTGTAGAATGTAAATGTAAATGAATACAAAGATGTATCAGTTCCAGTTTCTAAATGTCCAAGATGTTTGCGTTTAGAGATCCATTTTAAAGTAAATATTCCTGCTGTCAGCTGAACCAAACAGCCAATTTTATGTCCACTGAGAGAGCTACTGTCTTTAGTGGCCTTTTAGGTAGTTTTCACTGGGGTTTAGGAAACACATCAGGTTTTCAGTCTGGTTTTTATTTGTTTGTTTTAATGCAGTCAGTAGTGTTCAGTACTGCTCTTCTACTGGTTTAGAGCCAAAATGAAATATAACTTGATGAGGATTTATAGTAATCATACTTAGTTCATTTCTCATCTAATGGAAAAAAAATGAACCAGTTTTATTGACCTCTTTACCCACAGAAATTCACAAGCAAACAGCAGTGATTTTTTTTGTTTGTTTTATTAACTCATTGTCAGATGTAGTGTGTGTATGTGTATATATATACTTCGGACAACTACCTGAATGTGAGTATACACATCATGGTTAAGCATGATGCTCAAAAAAGCAAAGTATTTTTCATTTATTTTCATTTAAATTGTGAAATCAGTAACTGTAGTATATATACATATTGTTCCATACCCTTTACATTGCAGCTACTTCTGCCAGCATTTTATGCATATTTTGCACCATTTTTGTTTAACATTATGAAACGAACTAATGCATTGCCTTATGTACTATATCTCTGTACTTGCTGATAAATACAGGTAGTGCTTTTCTAAATGTACTCTAGTAGTACACTAGCATTGGTAAATTTAGATGCACAGTGCATACTTGTCTCAGGATAAATGGGTTTTTCATCATTAGGTTTTGAAGTATAAAAAGATACTGAACTCATTTTTGTTTGCTGACAATTGTGTAGTTTTGTTGTTGGGTTTGTTTTTTTTTTTAATATATTCTGTATATATCAATCAAGTTTTCCTAAAGAAATGTTACTACGAATGTTTCCCTTTTCCTGCTAGAAGATGTTTGTTTTCTTGTTGTGTATGTATAAATGAATATAGAGCATGCCTAGTCATGCAGATGTTAACACCGGTGAGAAATTTTAGATTGTCTAGAGGCCAGTCAAGTAGTCATTTCTTATGTTCTACTCCAGAAGTAACGTATCCATCCAGGAAATCCAATATGGCTATAGTGGAACGACCCTACAAATAACTTCTGCTTCAGTTACAAAGTCCAATAATATTCAAAGTAGCTGGGACATTTCTGAAAGTACTTAGATTTAGACTTTCATGGGAATTTCCACAACATCTTTCCTGTACTATGTGCCAGATTTAAAAGATTAAGTGGCCTTACTAACTTCTTAACACACTGTATATAGTGTATGTACTTGGTTATACTTGTGTTACACTTTAAAAATGAACTTAATTTCTGCATTGAATATTGCACACATTTTTCAAATGAAGAATACATTGTTTGTAACATCTCATTAAACACAGGAGAGCATTACTGCTTTGAAATACTATGTGCAAGTGCACAGAATCTCTCAGCTTTTGTTTGGAAACAGTCACACTAGCAGCTCTGTGGGTAGTTCAGTTTGTCAGAATTAACCTTTAGAATTTAATGTTAAATATCCTTGAAACATGGATTTAAATTACTTTTGCCTTTTTTGTAAAGTGCCTTTGTAGCGTACCTTGAATCATTTGCTGTATTGGTTATGTGTTAAACTAATACTGTGTACTTCTAGATCTATGGTTTATTTTTTTAATCTACATATTAAAGAGTGGAATGGTAACAATGTATTACAGACTGTCAGACAGCAATAAAACCATTCATAATATGGCCATTGCAAATCTCTTTATTTTCAAGAAGAAGTAAGTTGGGGGTAGGAGGGTTGGGAGGGTGTTGGGGGTTCTTTAACACTTTCAGTATGGCTGCCTAGGAATTCAGCTGCAGGAGAAGATAAACTTCTAGAAATAAATTTTTATAATACATCTCTTCTGAGAACCCAGGCTCAATCTCGGTTCATTGCTGACAATTAAAGTATCTCTTTATAACCTGTGGAAAGTTGAAGCCTGCAACAAAGCCAAGTAGTCCCTGGCTTTGGTGAGCTGTATTTTGTGAAGGCTGGAAGAGACAGGCATGAAAATCCCTTTCTGACCCCACGGTGCCATTACTGCCCCACGAAAGTCCAAAGCATCCACTTTTTCTGGCATTCCCTTGTCTGAAGACTGAAAGTGTGAAGCTGTTGTCATCTGTCTACTGCTGTGCACAAGAATCATCTGATGAGCACAGAAATGGAGTGTTGCACTCCTTGTGCTAAAAACCCCACTGCCGTATAAATGATTGATCCTTTAGAGGAATTGGGAATTGGTTCCCAGCTGTTGTTGGGATACCAGGGGTTTGAGGAGTTGCACTGAATGTTTCTTTTGTAGGACTGAAAGCTGATGAAATATGAAATATTAGATCTCGCTGAGCAGTTGTCTCTATGTGAAGTAAATTCTGATTTCTACATGGTAGTTGTGCTCAAGACCAAGAGGAACAGTGGAGGTAGGACCAAAAGCAGCTGCAATGGTCTGTCAAATCCCTTTTGTTTTCCATCTTCTGCTAGCAGGATGGAGGGTGAGCATGAAAGTATTTCTGGATAACTAGACTTAAAATGATAGATTATTCCCCCCCCCCTTTCCCTTTCCCCACTTGCTCTCCTGAGTATTCCTCTCTCCTTGATTTTGTGAATGAAGGCAGCATGGAAATTAATGGCACTATTGAGAAGCAGAAGTGACCAGATGATTTCAAATATGGCCTGCTTTTTTTCCACCATAACCGAGGTTTCTTTTTTCCAGTGCTCCTCATTTCTGTGCTCTTGCTACCATGAAAATCCAAAGAATTATTTGATCAGTGTACATGATGGGAATAAGTAGTGCTTTGAAATGATTTCTGAGAAAGATAACAGTCACACCATGGTAGTACTTGGGTGTCCAGTAATTTCTCATATATCCTGAGGAAGTATTGCTGCTATCATGATTTGAAAGTCAAAATTTCTGCAGAGGGACTTCCTATGGTCATATGAAGCACACTGTGAATGCGATTCAAAACAGATAATGTATCTTTTCCTCACAT